CTTTCCCTAACCTCTATTCTTAAACTAAACCCTAAAGTATGTAAACCAAAACCTTAAGAACCTATAAACAGTGTTCCTAACTTCAACCCCTAATGTTTAAAAGACCACTCAAAGCACCATAACCACTACAGCCCTCCTAGACTAAGTAGTTAGACCAATAAATGCAGCCAATGAGTGGGGCCTTGCACTGAAAAGGCAAATGAAGGCATAGAATTTATAAAGAACCAACACAGACAGAATTGCAATTCAGTCTTCGTTCATTTAGTTTAGTTTACTGGCTTGCTGCTCCCTCATCAATATATCACCCATATTAGCATTAGGGAGCTTAAAATCTCACTCCTGCCTCTCCTCACTGTGTTGTAAAAAAAAATAAAGGAAATCCCCAATCCAATAAAGGCTGCATGATCCCTGGGACAAGTTAAAAAAAGCTAGACTTGAGAGTCAAAAGTGCCTTTGTAAAGGCATTAGCTAATCACAGTCTAGGCAGAGGTGTGGCCCTCAGGGTGATGCACCTATTTAAATAATTAAAAAGAGGAGGGTACATAGTGCTTCCTCCATCCCCCACCCATGCTGCACAAGTGGGAGCTATTAAACTAAATTGGAGACCCATAAGCCACACTGGGGGCCCTAATTATCAGACAGCCCTAAGTAAAAAAAAAAAGGGGGCCTATTGTCTCCCCTTGGGGCCCCCTCCCATTTATGGATGTGGGCCCTAAGTGATAAAGTGGTGGACAATACCTCACCGGTCCCCACCCATTAGTTGCGGATGGTGTCCCTAAGTGATCAAGGGGGAACCTATTGTCTGCCCCCCAGCTCCTACCCATTACCATGTAGTGCATGTGGAGGATAGGCTGCAGTATGTGAGAGAGGGACAGGGGCTGCAGGGGGTGTGAGGGGGAGAAGAGTGTGTGTGGGAGGGGTGTCATGTGTTTGGGAGAGAGGATGTAGTGAGGGGGGAAAGGATGTAGGGTGGAGGGAAAGTGGGAGTCGAGCATGTGGGGGGACTGGCTGCAGTATGCGAGAGTGGGAAATGGGGCAGGAGGTTGTGAGACAGTAATTGTCTGGGTGTGCTTTTAAACAGCTTTGTTTAAATTTTAAAGTTATATTACTTTTAGTGATCCCTGAAGAAGTCCAGTACTAGGGCAGGACAGGTCGGACCTTGGAATTTAAATTTTATTTATATTTTATTTTTACTGGTTCTAAATAAATATATTTACTACCTAATACAGTTCCTGAGAATGGACACACTTGTTCTTGGTGTGGAGATAACTGTCCAGAGCGGAGGTGATATCGATTAGCTTCACAGGAATTTGGGGGAGGTATTCAGAGTGCATTTCAAACAGCATAGTTTTTGTCCCTTAGTTGGAAAAAATATATATACTGGAGACGTTCTATCCAAAGACAGAGAACCCTAACTGGTAGATGAGAAATTACAAACAATAATACTCTCTAAATGGTGTTGAAAAGTAGTGTGATTAGATAAAGGTATAGAGGAGTTTCCAAGAAATGGCTACAGTGTACTATACAGACTTTATTAAGTGCGGTCTAATGTACAAGGTAATGACGGCTAAATAACCAGACCCAGAACTTCAATCAACAGGAGAACTCACTTTTAGATAATACTTACATTGTCAATTTATCCCATCACACTCTAACTATGACACAACAACACGATCTTGGGAAGGGCCTTTCATGCATTCCAACACCCCATTTTAAAAATTCTGTTGGGTCAAAGATATCAACCTCTTCGCGAGAAAACTTGCTCTATATAAATTCCACCAGAACTGGCTTGAGAAACAGGCCAAAACTCTTAAATTGGAGTTGTATGGCTACAAGTTGGCACAAACACTTGCCTCTCTATTGGAAGTGAATGAATGTGCACAATCTTCACTAATCTGAAGAAAAAACGTGAATTCTACCCTGCTCTATCTGAATTTAAGTACATCTATCTATCTGTTTGTCGAACTCTTGTGTAAAGACATTGTACACATCTCGGCACAAGACTTGGAATATGTATCTAATTCCAACCTTTCATTTTCAGAGAGGAAAGCATTGAAACAATTGCAACAAAATGATCAAATTATTATCATACCCTCTAATAAAGGGGGGGATATTGTCAACCTAGATACACCACACTATGCTGACATTTTTTTTAACAATTGCTTCAAGATTCTGCGACTTATAAAACTTTGAGCAATGACTCCACCAAAAGATTTTCTGCTGAATTTAAAAAATCTATTAGAGAGAGACTTCAGTGAACAACTTTTCTATTTAATACCTCACCTCGAATTGCCATGTTATACTCTACCAAAAGTCCACAAGCAACAAACCAAACTAACTTGTAGACCAATTGTTGCAGGGAGGAATCAACTAACACAAAATGTCAGTATGTACATACTGTGATTATTCCACCTGACCACCAGTGAAATAAAATATAAATAAAACAGAACTTATAGGGACATAGCCTCCCAAGTTTATCTCCCAAGTGGTAACCAGCCACAACAGATATGTATTTATACAGAATTGAGGGATCTTGCTGGTGAACATATAAATAATAAAAAATAACATAAAACCAGAAAACACGAATTCTCAGCTGCACTCACAGATAAAGATGATAACAGCATCTTGTGGGTGCCACCCTTGATTATAGTAGGGGGCTAAAATACCTCCTACGGACTCATCTCCGGGCCGGTCTATTTGAAACACCAACAACGATAACCAGAGTATTCTTCCAAAAAGAGGATTTATTATACAAACTAAAATAGTACACAAAAAATATGTAAAATATGGTCGTCCTACGCGTTTCGTTCTCATGTGAGAACTTCCTCAGGGACCCATATTGGTAAAATCAGTAACAATGTAATACAAAAACAATCACATCCTAAATACCCTTCCCCCCAATGTTCCTTTTATAGGGCTATCTCCTAAATCATCATTGGTGGAGTGGTGGGCGTCCTCGCTTCTGACCTCCGGATAAATGACGTGCACTGTCATTATTCGGCATGTGCCATAACTCACACCCAACTTCCTTTAATAAAATACAGACACCAGTTATTCTGTTGGAAATATAAAGTCCACAGCTTTGTTTAATTATCATCATAAATTTAACAAATATGGGTCATTGCCAAATAATAATGATATTTTAATACAATCTCCCTCCGTACATAAATACCCCTGGCAATTACCCCATACCACTATAACAATGTATAACAGTATAAATAACATATAACATAAAAACACGGCCTACCAAAGAGGCCCATATCCAAATGCTTCAACTGTACCGAGACACCCCTACACCCCCAGATTCGGAGCCACCGATGAGCTCGAACCTACCAACTAATTAAAACACCCCAGCCTAATCCAGCCTAAACCTTGCCATGACCCCTTTATACCCCACCTAACCTAGCCCTTCCCCATCGCTGTGACCAAACGGGAAACTACATCTAAACCAGAGAGAGGGTGGAAGGGACAACTAGAATTGCCACTAGCCACCCCCATAACTAAATTACTAAACTCCCGCCCATAATTATTAAAAACCTACATGCCTACTCTCTGGCTCTGTCAAGGCCCATTCCCCTATCTGCGCTGTTCCATGGGCTACATAACATGTGCAATAACTCACACCCAACTTCCTTTAATAAAACACAGACACCAGTTATTCTGTTGGAAATATAAAGTCCACAGCTTTATTTAATTATCATCATAAATTTAACAAATTAGGGTCATTGCCAAATAATAATGATATTTTAATACAATCTCCCTCCATACATAAATACCCCTGGCAATGACCCCATACCAATATAACAATATATAACAGTATAAATAACATAAAAACACGGCCTGCCAAAGAGGCCCATGTCCAAATGATTAAACCGAGACATCCCTACACCCCTAAATTCAGAGCCACAGATGAGCTGGAACCTACCAACCAATTGAAACACTCCAGCCTAATCCAGCCTAAACCTTGCCATGACCTTCCCTGCCACAGGGCATGTGCACCCCCCACCACACCAAAACAGGGCCCTGGTAATGCCTTCTTGAAACCAGAGTAGAGTTGAGCGGACACCTCAATGTTCGGGTCCGGCGGGTTCGGCCGAACTTTTTAAAAAAGTCCGGGTTCGGGCTCGAACTTGACCCTGAACCCGAACCCCATTGAAGTCAATGGGGACCCGAACATTTGGCCACAAAAATGCTAAAAAACACCTGGAAAGAGCTAGAGAGCTGCAAAAGCAAGTAAAATGGGGGTAAGAGTAGGACAAGTGCCCAGCAAACAAATGTGGATAGGAAAATTACTTAAAATAACATACAAATTAAAAATACAGCTGAGCCATAAAATAGCACTTGATGGAATGTTTGATTTTAGCTTTGGAAGAACATCTAAAGCATGGCTGTCAGGAGGATCAACAAAATTATCCATTTGAGAGAGGGTTGGAGTGCAGGGTATTCTCTTTCATTGTTAAAACTGAGCTCAACTCCTGATGAATGGAGAAAAGGTCTTCACAAGCCTCTGCTACTGTGTACATAGTTTATACTAAGTGACCCATAGGTTGAGGAGGCGGTGTCCGTGGTGATGTAGGTGGAAGAGGAGGTGGAGGAGGAGGAGGAGGTAGCCAACACTGTTTTTTATGCTTTGTTTTTTTTAAATTGTGGTAGCCCACAAAATATTGGGACATACAAAAAAAGAAACATTTGCGGCCTGCGGTGCATTTCTTGCAGTCATGATGCATGGAGAAATGCTCAACTCCTGATGCATGGAGAAAAGGTCTTCACAAGCCTCTGCTAATGTGTACCTAGTTTATACTAAGTGACCCGTAGGTTGAGGAGGCGATGAACGTGGCAGTGAAGGAGGAGGAGGATGTATCCAACACAGTTTTTTATGTTTTTTTTTTTTTTTTAATTCTGGTAGCCCACAAAATATTGGGACATACAAAAAAAGAAACATTTGCGGCCTGCGGTGCATTTCTTGCAGTCCTGATGCATGGAGAAATGCTCAACTCCTGATGCATGGAATGGAGAATAGGCCTTCACAAGCCTCTGCTAATGTTTATACTAAGTGGAGGCGGTGACCATGGCGGTGGAGGTGGAAGCAGTGGTGGAGGAGGAGTAGCCAACACTGTTTTTTATATATATATATATATTTTTTTTTTTTTTAATTGGGGTAGCCCCCCAAATATTGGGACATATAAAAAAAGACAACTCTGTACCGCAGATTATCTGTTGACATTATAGTTGCACAGGCACTTTGTTGACTCTAAAGAACCTCGGGCCAATCGCACATCCCCGTGGCAGCGACTTTGCATGCAGATATCATCCATATCAACTTTCGATGTCAGTTTCTGCGCCTACCATGGTGACCACGGGTAACGGGGAATCAGGGTTCCATTCCATACAGGGACCCTGAGAAACGGCTACCACATGCAAGGAAGGCAGCAGGCGCGCAAATGACCCACTCCCGACATGGGAAGATAGTGATGACAAATAACAATACAGTACTCTTTAGAGGCCCTGTAATTGTAATGAGTCCACTTGAAATCCTTTAACTCTGATCAATTGGAGGGAAGTCTGGTGCAGAGCCACTGACCCGTGCGTGCTGCAGCTGAAACTCCACTATTGCCTGCTGCTTCTCGCACAGTCTCATAAGGCGGTGAGCGGGAAGGCCGAAGTTACACTGCAGCGCAGACAGGTGAGTAGCAGCAGTTCGGGTTCGCTCAACTCTATTATGGATCCTTTTATCGCTACATGTATTACTTGCATAACTGGTAATTCTCGAGCTAATACTCTGCTTTTGCACCCTGCTCCCTCTTATGCTGTGCTGGTGCCTCTGTTTGACCAGCGCCTCTTCCTCCAAACTGCACACGTCACTTGCATGACCTTGATTCCATGTGGGGTCTAGGACCTCATCATCCTCCACATCATCTTCCACCCACTCCCCAACCCTGCACTACACTGCAGAAAGCCACAGCAGTTGGTACCTGTGTTTTTCCAGCATGTAAAGTCTGCAAAGGACATATGGAAATTGTTTTAGAATTGTATCCAGGCAACAGTTTTCCATATAAACTGAGCTCTCAGTTTGACTTGTGAGGGTATTGCCCCAGAATTACAATATTGTTATAGTACCTCTTAGCTATTGATAACTGGTTTAAATATAACAGCTTGTTATCTGGTAGTTTCTAGTGTAGAAAATATCAGTCTGTTTTCTATCACTTAGATCGTTGTAACAAGTGTTGTAGGAGTGAAACAATATTACAAGTGACCGATGTAGTAAATTTGAATCAAAGTTACGCTTCGATTTGAGCCTCAGATATGAAGTGAACACCCCAAATATACTATTTAGCACCCAATTTTTTTTTTACTTTTTTAATCTCTAATGTAAGCAGTAGATTAGCAGCAAAACAATTAGAATGTTTACAACTGCAAGTAAGCGCACTATTTGACGCTTCTATTTGACTCTCAGATATGAAGTTCACCGCAGGCTGCAAATGTACTATTTAGCAGATTAGCAGCAAAACAATTAGAATATTTGCAACTGCGCAGAAAGCGCACTATTTGACGCTTCGATTTGACTCTCAGCTATGAAGAGCAGGCCCCAAAATGTACTATTTAGCAGATTAGCAGCAAAACATTTAGAATGTTTACAACTGTGCTTTAAGCGCACTATTTGATGCTTCAATTTGACTCTCAGATGCCCAAAATATACTAGTTAGCAGTTTAGCAGCAAAACAATTAGAATGTTTACAATTGCGCTGTAACCGCATTATTAGACACTTCTATTTGACTCTCAGATATGAAGAGCACGCCCAAAATGTACTATTTAGCAGTTTAGCAGCAAAACAATTAGAATATTTACAATTGCGCTGTAACCGCAGTATTAGACGCTTGTATTTGACTCTCAGATATGAAGAGCAGGCCACAAAATGTACTATTTAGCAGATTAGCACCCAGAAAATTAGAATTTTTACAACTGCGCTGTAAGCCCACTATTAGACGCTTCGACTTGACTCTCAGATATGAAGAGCATGCCCAAAATGTACTATTTAGCAGTTTAGCAGCAAAACAATTAGAATGTTTACAACTGCGCTGTAAGCACACTATTAGACGCTTCGACTTGACTCTCAGATATGAAGAGCATGCCCAAAATGTACTATTTAGCAGTTTAGCAGCAAAACAATTAGAATGTTTACAACTGCGCTGTAAGCACACTATTAGACGCTTCGATTTGACTCTCAGATATGAAAAGCAGGCCACAAAATGTACTATTTAGCAGGTTAACTCACATCATCTTCCACCCACTCCTCAACCCTGCCCTCCTTGCCGGTATGCACACTGCAGAAAGCCACAGCAGATGGCACCTGTGTTTTTCCAGCATGTAAAGTCTGCAAAGGACATATGGAAATTGTTTTAGAATTGTATCCAGGCAACAGTTTTCCCTATAAACTGACCTCTCAGTTTGACTTGTGAGGGTATTGCCCTGGAATTACAATATTGTTTAACCCCTTAAGAACACATGACGTGTGACATGTCATGATTCCCTTTTATTTCAGAAGTTTGGTCCTTAAGGGGTTAAGTACCTCTTAGCTATTGATAACTGGTTTAAATATAGCAGCTTGTTATCTGGTAGTTTCTAGTGTAGAAAATATCAATGTGTTTTCTATCAATTAGATCTGTGTAACAAGTGTTGTAGGTGTGAAACAATATTACAAGTGACCAATGTACTAAATTAGAATCGAAGTTTTGCTTCGATTTGACTCTCAGATATGAAGTGAACACCCCAAATATACTATTTTTTTTTTTTTAAATTGACTTTTTAAAACTCCAATGTAAGCAGAAGATTAGCAGCAAAACAATTAGAATGTTTACAACTGCGCAGTAAGCACACTATTAGGCGCTTCTATTTGACTCTCAGATATGAAGAGCAGGCCACAAAATGTACTATTTAGCAGATTAACACCCAGAAAATAAGAATGTTTACCACTGCGCTGTAAGCACACTATTAGACGCTTCAATTTAAATCTCAGATATTAAGTGCACTGCGGGCCCCAAAATGTACTATTTAGCAGATTAGCACCCAGAAAATTAGAATTTTTACAACTGCGCTGTAAGCACACTATTAGACGCTTCAATTTGACTCTCAGATATGAAGTGCACTGCAGGCCCCAAAATTTACTATTTTGCAGATTAGCACCCAGAAAATTAGAATTTTTACAACTGCGCTGTAAGCACACTATTAGATGCTTCAATTTGACTCTCAGATATGAAGTGCACCCCACTAATGTGCACCCCACTAATGTACTACTATGGCTTCTAAGGGCACACGAGTCAAATGCTTGGCTGTCACAGCGATCACATGTGCTGGGACAGCGCTATTGGCTGTTTCTGGTCTTCCTCAAATGCCGAGGCATCCAGCAACAGCGTTAACCCCACAATCGCCGTGATCTGGCGTTAACTTTAGTAATTGATGGAAATTTTCCGCCAATCGTCCTTAAGGGTAGGTCTGCCTTGAGGGAAAATTTCCGTCGAGTGTTGTTAAGAGGTTAAGATGGCCGTGCATTCCAGACTTGTTATAAACCAATTTGTATCTAGGTGCGAGCTCCCCTTGGTGTTCATCCAGAGGAAAAAAAATATTATTTGTCTAAAAGTAAACTGGCGTTAATGTTTGGTCTCTATGTTACATAGTTACATAGCTGAAAAGAGACTTGCGTCCATCAAGTTCAGCCTACCTCACATTTGTTTTTTGCTGTTGATCCAAAAGAAGGCAAAAAAAACCAGTTTGAAGCACAATTTTGCAACAAGCTAGGAAAAAAATTCCTTCTTGACCCCAGAATGGCAGTCAGATTTATCCTTGGATCAAGCAGTTATTACCCTACATTGAAAGATTATATCCTTGAATATTCTGTTCTTGCAAGTATGCATCTAGTAGCCGTTTGAACATCTGTATGGACTCTGATAAAACCACTTCCTCAGGCAGAGAATTCCACATCCTGATTGTTCTTACAGTAAAAAAACCTTTCCTTTGCCTTAGACGAAATCTTCTTTCTTCCAGTCTAAACGCATGGCCTTGTGTCCTATGTAAAGTCCGGTTTGTGAATAGATTTCCACACAATGGTTTGTATTGGCCCCGAATATATTTGTATAATGTTATTATATCTCCTCTCAGGCGACGTTTTTCTAAACTAAATAGGTTTAAATTTGTTAACCTTTCTTCATAGCCGATATGTTTCCTTCCTTTTATTAGTTTTGTAGCCCGCCTCTGCACTTTTTCTAGTGCCATAATATCCTTCTTTAGAAGAGGTGCCCAAAATTGCACAGCATATTCAATATGGGGTCTTACCAGTGATTTGTAAAGAGGCAAAATTGTATTCTTGTCCCGAGAATGAATGCCCTTTTTCATGCATGACAATACCTTACTGACCTTGGCCACTGCTGATTGACATTGCATGTGATATAGAAAAATTAAATATGTGCCATAATTGATAATATCACTAGTAAACAAGAGGCTTAGCTCAATTATTACATTCAATACATTAAATTCAATATGAACATAGTATTGAAATGTATATAAATTCACATGCCAGGTAGTAAATTAAGTGAAAACATAATAATCTATTTGCAATTTTACATACCGTGAATTAATCATAATATAAATGTATTCATGAAGGAGGAAAGAACATAGTCTATTTTCCCTATTTGGTGGAATAATAGGTTTATTAAATCCTAATTCTTGAGGTTAAAAACTGCTTATATCATATACTTGTATATCCATTTATAATATTATATTGATGGACATAGGCTTGCTGCTTCCTCCTCAATCTACATAAAATACATTAGATAATATCATCATATACAAAAAGATGATAGCTCATATAAACAACTCTGTGATATCATCCTACACAGTATACCCACTTGGAATATCTACTAAACCATTTGTTTTTATTTTTATTTCTATTTATTTGTTGCGGACGTTTAATATATCAAAATATTTGTTCCATTTCTTAAGTTCCAATCCTTGATCCAATAACAATGGTTGAAATAGAAGGAATAGGTTTATGCCTCTTTTTGAGACAATTAGTTAAGAAAATACACTAAGTCTATATCAACATTTATTCCTTTTGGCGTTAATGTCTACATTTTATGAATCCAGTATGTCTCCTGCTATGCCAGCTTTTTAACTCTATCTCCCCCTCTCCAATTGGAAAAATCTTTCTATGCCGACACAGTTGAGACCTTTTTATTGGAACAGAGAGAATTCCATGAGAGTTTAGGTTTTCTTACCAAAGAAAACAAGTTTATGAAACATATATAGCAATCCTTGGCATAGTTCATATTAAATATTAGTGAAAGAATGATAAATTCTTGAACATAATACTAATGTGTTAACTTATGGCAGATGGTGTGTATATTTCACGCTGGAATAGAGAAACACTTTAATTTACCTATTAACTTACCTAAAAGGGCGGGAGTAATCTATACAAAGAAAAGAGGGGGGGGGGAATATTCTCCTCCTGTCGTTAATAAAATTTAAATTATTCGGTCACTAAAGCTAGAATAATCCCTAATTTTATGGCAAGACAGGAGGCTTCATATTTGCTGTTTTAACGCTCCTATATGATAGAAGATAC